CCCCCCCCAAAATATATATATAAAAAACCCCCTCGCCCCCAATATACAAAGCATTATGCACAAGGGTGTTTGCAGTCACACTGAGCATGCTGGACCAGCTGCAGGGGCAGGAAGGCTGGAGTCGGGGCCAACAGTGGTTGATACAGAGTCAGCACGTGGCAGGACTTGACTAGACTTAGAGATCTGAGTCGTGGTTTGATTTGAGTAGAAAGAGTTCAGTGGAAAGACATTCAAATGCCAGTCAACTACTGAAGTGGGGAGTCTGAAACGAGGGCGCACCTGACTTTTGGGGAGGCCTCGAGAGGACACTGTCGGCTCTCGGAGCTCTGATGCTCCTCAGAGCACTTAAGAGACAAAAAGTCACCTTGGACAGCAAGAACAGAACAGTTAGTGTTGCTTCCTATTTGATCAGAACTTCTATTTGAACCTCCCAAAACTGTAGGAGAATACTCGAAAGCTCAGGGAACATTTTTCTATTTGATCATGTACATATAGAATATATAATTTCCACATATAGGTGTGACCCCCCCCCAAACTAACATCTCCTATATGCCAGCAACTACCTCGTGACAGTGTCCCTTTAAACATCCATCTGCTTCATTTTCACATCCTGCCTCCCCCCAACAGATGAACGTCCACTTCTCAACCAAGTATTAAACTCACGGAGATCAGTTTGTAAGATTTGAAGAACCATGTGTTCAACAATATGATCTGTTATAAAAATAAACACTTCACAGACAAATTACATAAAGCAAAGCACCAGTTTCTACAGCTCAAAAGCTTCCAGCATGTTACAGTTTTGCTTCCCTCCCTCCTCAAACCTGGGTGCCTCAGTGTCTATTGTACCTTTGTGACCATCACCAGTGGAGGGAAAAAAAAAAGAAAAAAAGGAGGAAAAAAAGGAAAAAAAAAGGAAAAAAACAGGAATTCCAGCACATCTTCTGCCACTATCCCTGGTTGTCCATCACCTCCTGTGCTGGCACAGGAGCTGAGCAGGCTCAGAACCATTACCTGGCACTGGTGAGTCACCCCAGGTGTGCTGCTGCTTCTCTCCCCTCACACTCTTCTGCTTTGATGAAGTTAAAACCAAATTAAAAGCTTCTCAGCTGCCCCGTTTTTGACAGGCTCTCCCCCCCAGTCCATCAGAAACCCGTTCAGCTCAGCATGGTTGGCATTCCCATGCTGATCAGAAACTGAAGTAAATCACCTTTAATATAAAATTCCGACCCAAACTGCCAATTATGACTGATCAAACCTCCTTCAAGGCAGGACTACTGGCATAAACTGCAAAACTCAGCGTGGTGGTGTGGATTTAGAATCTCCAAAAGAATATATAATACAAGTTACAAACTACTATTTTTTAATGGTAAGATCAGGGCAGAACTCGAGACTAACTAAAACTCTGGAATAAATCCATTTACCTCTCTGCAGAGGCTCCAAAACTACAGCAATGGAACAAGATTTTCAAAGCCTCCCGTGAACAAAACTTTCTGCTCCACGAAGAACCACTCATGCTCCCAAAGAAAGGCATTTGCACAGCTTTCCTCCAAGAAATCAGGATGCTTAACACAAATTAATGAAGAAAGGACACCGAAAAATGTGAAGCTGCTGCCGCTGCTGCTGAAAAATGGGGTGTGCTAAAATTAATTAAATGTAATAAAAATATGAATGTAAACTGCTGCACTGCTCACAGAGCAGCCAAGAGACCATCAGGGCTTAGTGTTTGCATAAATCAGCAAGACAGGAAGATTCAGAAAAAGTTCCCAAATCCCCAAAGCATGGGATTTACAGTGTTTGGGAAAGGGACAAACTCAGAAAATAAGCATCGTGGGACGGCCACGAGAAATGAACGTGTGAGGAAAACAAACAAAAAAAAAGAACAGTTCTGTGAGATAAAGGGTCAAACTTGCCAGGCATAAAACAATCCAGTCCCAAAACCTGAGCTGAGAGCAACGGAAACAGATTTTTTCACAGCCTTGACTTTTCTTAACCGTGTTGGGGGGAAAAAAAAAGGACCCCAAAAATATGTATTTTAAGTGGAACTTACAAAATATACTCTTCAGAAAAGACCTGGTCCAGCAGGTGAAGAACCAGCTGTTTGACCAGATGAACTGGAATAATCCTTGCACATTTTAATACCAAAAAAAACCCCCTAAGAACCCAATGGGCAAGAGTAGCTTGAAACACAGTCTGGATTGAAGGGGAACAACTCTGTGAACCAAACACTTGCAAGAGTGTTTGCTACCCCCCAAAATGGTATTTAAAATATGGCCATTTCTTTTCCCATATTCCCCCAGAAGCACAGGACTAGGAGCAGAGGGAATGCAAGAGACTCTGCTCTCCCAGAAATCAGGGAAGAGGTGCGGGAGAGGAGATTTTACATTCACTTCTTTTTTTTTTTCAAGATTGGTACTTCACTCCAGCCTTAAGCTGCTCTGGAAATTTGAACCACTTCGAAAATGAAAGATTTACAATCGAAACAACGATCATCTTTATTGGAACGGCAACAGTAGTTTCATGAGAGTAAAGAACGTTAAGAGAACTTGAAATTTTTATAAGCCAAGGTAAAGTAATTTACCAGCCTCAATAAAAACCAGGGCTATGAACCACACAAGACAAATCACTCGGCTGCTGCATTAATATTCCATTCCCCATCTGAGGCTCCACACTGTGCTCAGCATCCTCAGGCTCCCTATGGATTCAGCCAAGTGTCCTTCCTGATCATATTAGTGTATCACATCTAAGAGCTCTCTAGAATCCAAACAGGATTACGAATCTGGTAGCATGTGCTACCAGAAATCCAACTAATTAGCTGCCTTATGTTACCTTCAAGAGGCTGGTTACAAAATGTGTAGTTCTGTGACCAAAAAAAAAAACAAAACAAAAAAAAAACAACAAACAAACAAAAAAATAGGATGCAAAAGCTTGTCAGCTGGAAGATAACTGTGAGCAACCAACAGAAGCACAAAGGGTTTAAAGGAAACAAAAAAAATAGAGAGAAAAATGGCAGGTCCAGTTTTCAGTATTTCCACCAACAAACATGGCAGCAACCTCTGCTATCAGGGTTTGAAAACCCAGGCTTGGGTAGTTTAATGGAGGTTTAAAAACGAACATAAAGCGACGACAAAAAAAGGACGTGGCTGCTTTGATAAAAGCACGTTAAAATGCCACCACACACATCTCGAGGGTCTCGCTTCGAGGGACATCCTGCTTGCCACCTAAAACAGTCCTGCTTCCAACACTCCACTTCCAACACTCCCTCCCAGCTCCATCCTTGGCCACTGTTCCCTACCCAGCGCTTCCCAGGCTCAGGGAGCTGGACAGCAGACGTGTGGCCGTGGGAGCAAAGGATGAAGGGATGGGAGGATGAGGACATGGAGGTGGGATGGGGGGGGGTGTTCACTGCCTGCTGTCCCACCCTGAGGGATGGAAGGATGAAGGATGTGGAGGTGGGATGGGGGGCATGGTCACTGCCTGCTGTCCCACACTGAGGGATGGAAGGATGAGGGTGTGGAGTTGGGATGAGGGGATGCTTCCTGCCTGTGTCCCATGCTGGGGGATGGAAGGACAGGGGGATGCTCCCTGCCTGCTGTCCCATGCTGAAGGATGGAAGGATGAAGGACATGGAGGTGGGATGGATGGGGAGGGGATGGTCACTGCCTGCTGTCCCACGGTGAGGGATGGAAGGAAGAGGGTGTGGAGTTGGGATGAGGGGGATGCTCCCTGCCTGCTGTCCCACACTGAGGGATGGAAGGATGAAGGACATGGAGGTGGGATGAGGGGATGCTCCCTGCCTGCTGTCCCACTCTGGGGGATGGAAGGATGAAGGACATGGAGGTGGGATGAGGGGATGCTCCCTGCCTGCTGTCCCACGCTGCGGCTGGAGAGGGCTGAGGGATCACTGGAGCTTTTCTGAGGACAGATGGAGGGAGAGAAGAGAAACACTAAAGCCTGACTCATGGGATCCGAGACTGACCAGAGCACTGCAGAATCCTTTGCTTCACATTTACACACAGACATCCCTCGCCCCAAAACCTAAAGAATTTTAAGTTTTTTACACTATCCGTTAATTTATTTCTTTTTTTTTTCTCCTTGGAAAAGAACTCTAAAGACGTATTTTCCACAGTAACCAAATGGAAACCGGTTTTAAAAGTTGTTTGCAATTTCTCTTCCTTGTTCTGCCCATCTACAGCCAACCCTGAAGAAATCAAGTGGAGTTAATGGATGTGGGAAGCTTGTAAGTTGTAAATCTGGGTTTGCAGAGAATGGGCTGCAATTTGCCTACAGCAGAAGAGTTTTTTTTATCCAGCAAAGACAAAAAAAAAAAAAATCTCCCATCCTAATTGGAGGGTCTTTTCTAAATCAAAGACACTGGACCATCTCTGGGTCTCTTGATTGCTTTCCATGAAAAACGTGCCTGAATCCAAGAAACACAGGTTTCCTCCCTGTGTCTCCTTTTCCTCCACTGGAATTATATCAACTACATTTTTTCTGAGAGTGAACTTGTCTCAACAAAAGTCTGTTAAAGCATAGGTTCTTTTTTTTTTTTTTTTCTCTCCATATATTCAAATACAGAATAATAGTTTTAAACAACTCTTACCAGCACTGGGAAAAAAATCTATTCTACTTAAGGATTTTTTTCAGTATGGTTTCCACATATCAGTCCTCAAACCTTATTGCTTCACAACTGCAATATCCCTTGGAAAAAAAAAATATATTTAATGGTCTGTTAATTTGTCTCAAATGGCTTTCAGATTTGGTGGGGGAGGGAGAACGGAATGGCCAACAGAGAACATTGACTTCAAAATATTACTGTATAAGGGTTTCCTCTTATTAAAAAAGGATACACTGTATTAAACAGCTGAAAGTAAAGACAGCATTCAAAGCCCATGAGTCAAGCCACAGCCAAAACCGTGTTCTACCCCTAAGTATGTTTTTCTTTTCCTTTTTCTTTTTTTTTTCTCTTTTTTTTTTTAACCAAAGGTTTCCTCAACTGCCATTTTTTAATCTTCACCAGAGGGTGCTTCGTCTTCAGATCCCTCATCCCCTGACTTCTCTGGTGGAGGGCTGGCTGATTTTTTCTTTTCTGGGGGGCTTTCAGGCTCTTCATCCTCTTCTTTGGGGGATGGGGTCTTTTCTTTCGTTGCCTTGGAGGCTGTGGGACGACCTCCCTTCCCTTTGCCTTTCACTGGACTGGGGGTCACTGAAACAAGAGAAAGCTTGTAAAACTTATCAGCAGCAAAGGCAAAAAAAAACCCCAAAAAAGTCACATGGTGTTACACAAACAGGATTTACAAGTCCCTTCAGCAGCAGCTTTTGTTTTGCTTTGACCCCACAGATTGCTTTTTGCACCCCCTGTTAGCAAAGCTGAACTGCAAATTAGCTAACGAGGTTTTAAAGCTATTTCATTGCAGGTCCTGACTAATTACTGGATGTGACATCATGAATGAACACAGCCCTTTGTCAAACCAGAACATACATCACTATTAAACTTCAAACTTCCTGCAGAAATGCAGCCACTTCTCCTTTGGTTCAGATTTCCCCACCTTCCTCCAGCCTGAAAACACCACAGAGTCCCAAACAAAGCCACAAACTGTATTATTTGGCTACGAGACAGAAAAAGTCAGAATGCAGCACCTCAACAGGGAAGGGTTTGAATACTGTGTAGTTTTTACCAACAAGATAAATTCAATCCCTAAAGTAAGAATTAAAGCCACCTTATTATTTCATATTTATGCTTTAAATCATGGCATTTTAGCCCTTCAACATTTAGGTGGATATCTACTGACTCACCTGTAGCCTTTAGCCTGGGCTTGGGCATTTTCTTTTCTTTCCTCTCTGGCTTGGATTTCTTGGAGACCTTCTTATTCTTCTTTTTTGAACTGCCATAATCACTGTCATCATCATCTTCCATGAGGAAGTCTTCATCACTTCCTGAATCTGCTGGAAGCATAAAGAAATTTAAGTTTTTTGGGGGCAAAGAGGAAAGGGAGCAGAAGGTGAGAGATCTGCCAGCGAGACAGGACACAGACTGAGACCCTCTGAGCTTCCACTGTCTACTGGGGTAAAACATTTGTCTTGGTTTTTACATCATCTGAGAGGAGCATCAACGCCTTAAAACCAGAGGGACAGCAAGAAGCAGCGAAAGCTTTACAATAACCCTTTAGGGTTGCTTACAGAAACAGGCATCTGCAAACTTTGAGCACAAATTCTAGGTGTGAAAACCCAAAAGCTTGGTCTTTTGGACAGTAAAAAGTAAAATACTAAGAGGGACAATTGATGCCTTCAGTGTCACGGTGAAAAAGCAAATTGTTCCTTTTGCTGTGTGGCCAGACCCATAAACTCCCATCTGCTACTGAACCCAGTTCAATCCCATTTACTCACTCTCCTGGAACTGGGCCTCATCATCCTCTTGCTCTTCCTCCTCACTGCCCACGTCATCCATGAGCATCTCCCGCTGTTTAGAAGCTGCTTTGGACGCCGCCTGTCGCTGCTGACGGACGTTTTTGTGATCCTCCTTCTCGTCCTCGCTGTCCTCTGCAGCAAAAGCCACCAGGTTATGAGGGATACACAACACAGACCCCCTGTCCTGAGGCAGCAAGTCATTCATAAGAGAGGAAATCAAGACATTCACTGATAACTGGTAACATTTGACATATTAAACACCTTCCTGCAGTCACCCAACTACCAGGAACCTCTTTTTTTTTTGATTTTTCTTTTTTTTTTTACCTGCAGGCCTTTTCCTGGATTTGGAGGCTGCTCTCTTGTTCTTGTCTGGTTTAGCCTTTTTTCCTTTTTTGCTTTTTTGAGAGCTCTCATAGTCACTGTCAGCTTTGCCATCGTCTGCTCCTATATCATCATCTTCACTGCCAAAATCCTCATCTGGAAGGAAAAGGGACCAAGATGAAGTTTCTTGAATCATTCTGAAATAGGGATGAAAACTACAGGGAAGAGATTAACAAGTCCATCCACCTGTGAAGACAAACTTTATAGAACCACCACATTACACCAAAAAAAATCCAACCACATTATCCCAAATCAGGGTGGGAAGTAACAGCAGGAGAGGTAGAATCCAACTTAAGGTGAGTGGATTGGAGAAGTGCTGCTCCTCTAATCAGAACTATGTCAAATCCTACTCCTGCAACTCTCACAAACTGCTTTTGAAGAGACACTGCTTGTTTTGAAGATGTATCAGTAAAATGTAGTTACCTGCTGAGTGTGAATCATCTTTCTTAGTCTTCACATCTTTGTCTTCTGAATCCTCACTGAAAATGAGAGAAATACAAAGTTTGCCTGCTGTTCTAACTTTGATTTCAGTCACTGTTGTGCGGAAAATAACGATTTTTGAAGAGCAAACTGATGTCTAGGCTGGGAACATGCACTTTTCCTGGACATTACCACCTTATACTTCAGGATTCCTCTGGTGTATGTGCAGTTATCACAGCTAGAAAGGTAATGTTCAAACCCAATCACATAATAAACTTATATGGTGCCAAGTGAACCAAGGCAATAATCAGGGTGAGGTGAAAAAGCTTCACTCTGAAAGCTACCAATGGCTTCCATTTTATCTAGAATTTTGATTTGGCTTATATGCTGAGTCTATAAAGGGAATAAAGGTTGATTCTGAATAGATTTATAGTCACTGTTTAGATCCCACTCTGTGCACGTTGCTGTACAGCTCTGAACTGGCACAGGTTTGGTCCAAATGATCTGATCTCTGATGGAGAGTAAGAGACACCTTGGGGTTACAGGACAAGAAGCAGCTGGCAGAACCTCCACCCCTGAAGCTGATGTCTGCCATGAAAACAGAGAAATGATTTAATAGGTGGCAATTATGGCAATTATTTGGGGGCCACAGTTGGTGTGAAATGGAAGATACCCTGCTGAGGGAAGGTTTGCTGCAGAGTCAAGGTATCTCTGAGCACTGAGTCCTTCCACACTGCTGGAGCAACTTGGTTATCAGGACAGGTTTATGAATGAAACAAAACGAGGAAAAAAAGAACCACAAAACTAACAAATGGCCCCTGCACCATCCCACTTCACCTGTAAGGCCAGGAGTGCCCTGAGCACTCTGCAAACGTGGAAAATGAACTGCATCTCCCCACCAACTTACCTGGAGAATCGTCCCAGCTGCCAACCTTTGTAACTCGGATCATATTCCTCCCCATTCCAACTGTCTGGCTCTGGAAAGCTATTTCAGTGATGAAGCACCAGTGACAAGTGCTTCACACATGATTTCTCTGTCTACTCAGATAAGGAAGAACCAGCTCACTGTCTAAGCTGGTTATGCAAGTTCTGAGCCTGAGAGCTCCCAGTCTCACCCTGTGCACTCGAATTCCACCTTCCGTCACTCCTCGTGCAGGATCCCGCTCCCCACAGGCAGGACAAGGTTTGGAGACACGTTCCCAAGACATGAAGTGGTTCTTTTTTACCTGTCCTCCTGAGAATTCTTCCCAGATCGCCTCTTATTTTTGGCCTCTCGGGGAGACGAGCGGATTTTCTTGGAGGGGGGACCTGAATCTCTTCCATAATCTTCATCTGGACGGGACAGTACAAAATGGGTTTGAATCAAACTCCTACTTGCCAGCAAACTGCCTTCCTCAGCTCTAACTTAAACTGATCATTTCATGCACAACAAAAAGAAGGCCCTTCGGAAAAAAAAAAAAAAACAAACAAAAAAATAAAAACAAACAAACAAAACAAGATCACAAAGCTTCAAAGGAGATTTTTATAGAAGCAAAGTCCCGTCTTAAACTTGTGATTTTACCTTTTGTGGGGCCAACAAGCACAATAAAAATGCTGTGTTAAGAAACATAAAAACCTCACAAGAGGAAACATTATCTCGTTTTACACCTAGTCAGTTATTATATAATCCTATTAAAAATTAACTTCCATACATATTTCACCTTGCTTTTAACAGCAAACACTATTTACTGTCCTATGGTGGGGGAAAGTATGGCATTATATAGGAGTTTACAGCACAACTTTTTACAACTCTTACACAATACCTTATTAACAGAGCTGCAATTAAGAACCAGGCATATTTGTTTCATATTAATTATCAGTGTAATCTGATAAACAAACAGCAGCACTGTGTCTGTCTTCTAAGAACTCAAAACATTTTCCATATGGCTCCCAGAAAATTTCCTTCAATTCACACAGAATGTAAAGGTTATATTTTTTTTAAGATGCTATTCCTCAAAGTGCCTGATATTATGGGCTCAACTAGAGTCCACTAAAATAAATGGAAAACATATTTTCCTGCAGGAAAAAAAGTGGCATTAGGGAGATTCAGGACATAACATAGACCAAGGAAGGAAGTTATGCCAAGAGCCTCAAGGCACTACAACAATACAAGCATTAAATAATAAGATTTCTATCACCATTGTTTGTTTAATACAGAACATGTGAAAATCATTACATTTTCAAAAACTTATTAACAGTTTGGGCTGTGAAGAGCAGGATCTCCTCAGAATTTGAGTTTAAGACAAACAATTAATACACAAGGCAGTAATGAACTGCTCTACCCCAGAATATGATACTGTTAAGAAAAAAAAAAAAGTCATTTACCAGCATCATCTGATTCCTGAAACTGGGAGTAATCGACCACCTTCCTGTTCCTGGGAAAAAGCAGGGGGGAAAAAAGAAAAATCAATTAGGAATTTGTAATTACAGAGATACAAAAGCTTTCTCTAAGAAACAAGGAAGTGCCATATCCTCGCTTCCAGTGCTGGATTTGTAGCCCAAAAATATCCCATGGAAACTCTCATCATCAGCCTCTGAAGTCAGAAGTGAACACACAGTATATCCCAGCATTTTCCTGAAGTGATATTATAATAGTCTGGATTATAATCTCAGAGTCTGGAAAAAGCTTTTTGGTAAGTACACAAATATCACCATTAACAAACATTTCTCAGCTGCTCTGTTTTGTACTTCTGCTTCTCACAGCTCAATACACCCCACCGAAATTCTCCTGGAATGTTTGTTTTCCTGTGTGATCCCCGTTTCTAAAGCATTTTAAAGGTTTCCCTGGGAGTTTTTTCCAGGAGTTCCACGAGGAAGATGCCAGAGCTGTGCCACTGCTCAGCTCTATCACTGGGCACAACAAAAAAACCCAGACACACATTTCACCCAATTTGGGTTTTTTTCAGTGAATCAACCTGTATTTCTTTACTTTATCAGCACCTCCTCTGCTCTTTGGCCAAAGTGAGAGAGGCACTGAGGGGTCAGGAACAGTGCAAATGCAATGGCCAGTTCCACACAAAATTAGTTATTTACACAAGCAGCTGTTACTGACACTGAAGCCTCACTGGTCAAGAAAATTAGATCTGCTTCTCTAACTTACTGAAAGCTCAAAAATTAAATGAGATGTGAGGAATTGGTGGATATTTTATCAGCACCTTGTCAATGGAGGTCCAAGTGCTTTATTGACGAGACATAACTGCCCTGTTATGCAGCTACTAGAGGGAACCAAGACAGACACATAAACGAATTATATTTGAGATAACTGATAATGTCTCAGCCAAACTCAGGCTCCAAACCCTTCCTGTAAGCACTCACATGGAATGGGAGGAGGAGGCACAGCTGGAAAAGGCCCCAGAGGTTTCAACACCCCTCCCTTCACAGTCACTTTTTACAATCCTTTTGGCCCGAAGCCAAGGAGAAATTTGATTTTCCAGGAATCATCCCGTGAGCTCACTTGTACAGCTCAAAAAGCCAGGAAAGCACTGCTGAAGTGCCCTACCCAGCACCTCAGGCCTGAGGACTGCAAAGGGAAGGCAAGACCAGCTCCATCCACACATGGATCCATCCACACATGGATCCAGCCTTCCCCTCTCCTGCTCTGCAGGGCACGACTGGGCAACTTCACATCCAGCTCCCACGGCTGAGCTGCACCTTGGCATTAACATCAGGCACTGCTGATAAAACTGTTTCGCTGAAAGACACCCAAAATCATCACTGCTCTGGCTGCTGATCCCTTTCCAATCAATCTGAAGTTGCCCTCCTGTACAGGTACCTCGAACTCATGGCTTAGAGCACCAGCCTTCCAAAGGGGAAAGAGCAAAATTCCATCTCAGCCCCACACCAGGACTCTTAAAACAATTATGCGGCAAAAAATGAAACCAATCTCTCAAAAGAAAAAAAACCAAAACAAATCAAAAAAAAAAAAATCAAATAGGCAAATAAAAGGAAGGCAGGAGCAGTGGTTGGATTTCTCCAGGCTGAATCCCATCCAAGCCTCAGAGCACGTGTGAGTGGGACAAAGTACAAGAGCACCGTGGGGCAGAGCACTGCTCACTCACTCCCAGCCTGAGCACGGTAAAATACCAATTTAGGAACACAATGATTGGCAAGGCTTGTTATGGCTCATCATCCAGGGGTTTACATTCCTATTCCAACAGGTATAGTGCCTCCTGACCCACCTCACGTGGGAAAACACTGATTTTTATCCTGGTGAGCAGTTATGCCAAACCAAACATCTTATTTAGTAAGTACCAAATATTACAGGGTTTTTTTTTCCCCTCCAAAGGTATAAATGGAAAAAAAAAAAAAAGGCAAAATTTCCACATATTCTGTTCCAGCAGCTTTGTAAAACAACAGTTTTGGACACCTCTAATCTAACAAACAAGATGGAAATTGCAATCCTGCCACCTTGGAAGTTGGTCATGCTCAGTTCCATCTTGGTTCCTTCAGTCAGACACACATTAAATCAGGCAGTGAAAATGCAACAGTGCCAGCTAAAACATTAACAAAAACACTGTCCCCATGGAAAACATCCTTTCTCCAAGCACTGCCCCTTGTGTTTGCAGCTGGGAAGTAAATCCTGCTTTCCCTACCTGGTGACCAGCTGTGGTATTTGTATTAAAAAAACCATAAATCACTATTTCAGAAGCCAACAGAAGAGAAGGCTCTTTCCTTGTGCCATCTTATTTTGCAGGGCAAGGAGAGGGGGGATAAAGAAGGAATAAAAATCTGCTGGGTCCCAACAGAACCAGAGAAGCTCAGAGGCACAGAGACACCAACCAACCTGCTCCTGCCCTTCTCCTCCCTTTATCCTCATCATTCAGCTCATTTGGATCAACTGATGGTTTTATTTAGAACTGTCAACAGCACTGATAATTAATTATGAGTTTGCAACGTTTCTTACACCGAGGAGATAAAAACACACTGTGTAAGTTCACTGCAAGAGCCAGAAAAAGGGATTGCTGGTGCTGTCAGTGAAGAGGCTCTTTGCCACGAGCAAAATCTAGAAGATGGGAAGGCAAGCAACCAGACATAAAAATAAACTCTTTGTTAAATTCAGTTAGACTGAGCATAAAAAGACAGGCTAGTGGACAGCTGGGATGGGTATTGTTCAATCTGGCTTCAAATATGCACTGAAATTTAAAGATAACTTCCCTGCTAATTCAGCTTAACATTTAAAGTGTGTGTGTGAAGGAACTGGGGGACAAAAGGTACAGAGAGAGGTCTAAGAGCATAAGTTTTAATAACACTCAGTCCAGTATTTTTGGAATAAACAGCAACTCATCTAGCAAGTCATCAACATGTTGGGATGGAAGCACTTGGCAAAGTAATAAGTAATTTAAATACAACTCAGAAATGCAGAGTAATTCTTGCAACCTCTACTCGATGGTGACCAAACAGCTATTTTGAAATTATGAGAAGTAATGTCAACGTGTAAAAGGATCACTAAATGCCTCTAAAACTGAGCAGGGATTGTGTAGTAGTATTTTATCTTCAGCTAGTGAGGTCCCTAAAGCCTCAGTCTTTGGAAGTCAACACATCAGAACAGACACTATAATCAGGGAGAAATATTTGGGTTTTTTTAAAGGGAATGCTTAGATCCCCAGGTATTTCTGCAGGCATTAAAATCCACAGATGAAGCCCAAGTTTTTTAAAAAAACCCCCCAACACATACTCCTGAAAAGCAGTGCTAAAAGGAGCCTTCAAAAATCGAGTCACTGCTTTGAGTCTCATCCTGCACTGAAGAGGAATGTTCAGGTCAAATGACAACCAGCAGAAGCAACAACCTCTAATACAACACAGCAAGGGAAGTGAATGGGATTAAATGGTTGCTGTACATCATTTATCCACAGCATTTAACCAATATAACCATCAAACCAAGCATTTGTGAACAAAGCTACAGCCCCTCCCTCACCTCAGGGCTGGGGCAGTTCTGGTCAGTGGGGCTTCACCTTCTGGTTCTCATTCTCAAAGGTGTCTGTCCCCTTTTAGGCCAACATTGTTAATAAATACTGCCATGAAAAGCACCTTTTTTCTGCACAGAAAACGAAAATACCTGCAAGAAACACTTCTGGCTGTCATTTTTTAAAGCAGTGCTGGATTTGGGCCTTCCATGACCGTGGACTTACAATCCCCAACAGAAGCTGGCACGTGGTGACAGTGGTGGACCCAAACCGTGCCACTGTGGGGTCAGTCTGTGTAAAAACGGGCACAGCCATGCCCAGACAGGGCTCACCCACGAGAGGTGCCCAATTACAGAGGTCAGTGTTTGGGGCTGGGCCTGGTGTAAGTCCCCATGTCTGTAAGACCAGGCACTGCTCATGGTACCCACAGAATTTTTAGGGATACACACGACTTGGAACTCCATCAAACAGTGACATGATTTATGCAGCAACGGTTCAAGCAGCCTCGTGCCCGTTCTCCAGTGGAATCCAACTGTAATTGAGAAGCTTTTAATACAGAAATGTTCTGGTGCAGAGCAGGGGAGGGGGAACCAAACCCAAACCCCCACCCAAATCACTTCTGCAACCTGTGTTGTCCCTGGGATTTTGATCTTTTTTGTACCTCTACCTTCTCTCTGTTTCTCTTTAGACTGAGAGAGCAAAGATCAGCTTTTCACAGTGCCCACACCTATCTCTGGACCACCACACAGCATCACTCAGGTTTTATTAACTGCCAAGCCCCAAGGAACTGTTGCTTTCCTGCTTCCTGGGGAAGTTTGTCCAGAATCAAAACATTTATGCTCTAAATTGCCCAAGTACAACACTGGCAACAAGTTATATTTAATAGATAAATATATTTCTTCCTGCTGGTAAAATTTTACCCTTCCACTGCAGTGCCAACAGGAGACTGGGATTCGAATCCAGGAAAATTAAGGATGTAAAGCCTTGAAGCACTGAGATCAATTCCTGACTGGCTTTAATCTTAAAATGAATCACCAAAAAAACCCCTGGGATTTCCATACCTGCCCACAGCATCTCAGTTTGCAATGACTCCAGGAAAGGACCAGCAAGTGGCAGTGACCAGTGAGGAAAAGCAGAAGCAAACTCCATTAAAAGTCAAAATTCTGACTTAAAACACGTTAATTGATTGATGATGTATATAAAAAAGTGGTTTGAAGTATTTAATTTAATTTATTATATCCCTCTAATATTTTATATTATGGGATATAATGTCACCACCAGCCCCAGCTGCTCTTTGCAGTTCTCAGGTGAGGTACCCACAAGATGCAGAGGTTCAGTAATTTCATGTTCTTTTACTTTTTACTTCTTGTCTTTTTACAACAATAGTGCAAATACCATCATTATCCATCCAGGTGAAATTTAATTGTGTAGAAAGTACTTGGCACAGGAAGCCTGTAAATACCAGCACTTTATTACTACTCCTTAACAATTTTAAGGAACTGACTTCAACAACCAGACTCAGTTTTAAGGCAGCATTCCATGACAAGTGCAGTAAAAACTGGGGATATACGGTGGATTTTATTAACTTCACTGTTTTAGGTGCATATATTCACCAGAAACCAGCAGACATCATAAATTAGTTCAAAGAACACTGACCAGAGGAAAACTTTTCCAACACTAAATCTCACTCTGATGAAGAGCCTTTCACCAGGCTGCCACACCATCACCAACCACAAGCTGAGACAGCCAGAAAAAATCCATTTCAGAATTAATTTATTAATGGATTTCAATCTATTAGCAGAGTTCTCCAGTTAATACTGAGTAGAGCAATAAATATAATGTAGCAGCCCCTGTGTATTTACCTTTTTCCCCCCTGGAAGGGCTGTTAAATACAGGTAGACAGAGGACTGTTACATCCCTCCTGACACGTGCCCAACAGGTTTTGTGCTCCCAACAACCTGCTGGACTTTGGTGCTTTATTTCTCTGGAGACCTGGGCCTGTCAGCTGAGGGTGAGACAACTCAAACCTTTCACAACACTGCAGGCCTGGGTGGGGGAGGTTTATTTCAATTATTTTTTAGGAATTGTTGCAAAGTTATTTTCACACCAGCAAGCTCAGAAGCTCTGCTTTTAGAGACACAGCCCTTCCCTGACCTGTTAGCAAGACTCCAGTGCTGGCAAGAGAACCACCAGCATTTCAAGTGTCCCCCTCAAGCAGCAGAGTGACACCACCACTGATCTGGGCACACGGGCACTGCCACTCAGGGGCAGACCACTGGTCCATCCAGCACAACATCCTGCCCTGCAAAAGGCCAAAACCTGATGTTTCAGAGCAGGGTACACACAGTGCCATTAATGCACCTTTTGGATCCCAGACAACTCCCCAAGGGAGCTTCATTTGCCCTTCCCTCTCCATGCAGGAAGACACTGTTGGTCAAAAAAAACGAGCTATGAAACAATTGTACCACCAATCACTTCCCTACTTAGCAAAGTACCCCTGGTTTCCATCTACTTTTTAAATTCTCACATTTTAGAGATGTCACTTAAACATCAAGTATATCATCCATAAATATACATATGTATGATAGCCACAATTAATTATTATTTAGAATATCCAAAATATCCACACATCCACACTCCAGACCAGGCTTACTGGGAATGAAAACACAACCAGTGACCGAAGTACCCTGAGAATGAAAAAATTTCAGAGCATCAAGAGAGCACCTTGAGAAACCTCTTTCCTTTTCTATAAAAACAACTTAAATCGCAAATTCACTCTCTAAAATCACAAGTTCGCTCTCTTTGCAGAGAAGAGTAAAAAGGAAGACACTCCCCCCCCCCCCCCTAAAACTTTCAGCGACAAGGCAAGTTCACAGAATCACAGAATTCATACAGAATGTCCCAAGCTGGAAGGGACCCACAGGGATCATCCAGTCCAACCCCTGACCCTGCACAGACACCCCAAAATCCCCCCTGTCCCTGAGAGCGTTGTCCAAACCCTCCTGGAGCTCTGGCAGCCTTGGGGCCGTGCCCACTGCCCTGGGGAGCCTGGTCAGTGCCAACCACCCTCTGGGGGAAGAACCTTTTGCTGAGATCCGCTTAAACCCTCCTGGCCACAGCTCCAGCCGTTCCAGGGGCACCAATTCCCCCGAGCTGCAGATCCTCAAACCCACCACGACGCACCACCAGCTCAGCCCACCCCCGGCAGCTCCTCGAGGCCCAGCAGCGCTCAACTACAGACACAAACACCACACCTACCTCTGCGAGCACACAGCTCGCCAACAGCACCGCCAAAAAAGCTTTTTCTCTCCTCCACGACCCAACCCCTCTCTGGGATAGGTGCTGGGAGGGGGGGACACACACACACCAGCAGGAAAACGACCCTGGAGCGCTGCTGGCGGGCGGGCGGGAGGAGCAGGGCGTGTGTCCTCCTCCTCCTCCTCTTCCTCCTCCTCCCGGCGGCTCCTCCCCTCAGCGTGGTTCCCCAGCACAGCCCCCGTGGCCCGGACCCCCCTCGGGGCGGCCCCGCGCCCCCTCCCCGGGCGGCGGGGCAGGGGCAGCGGCCGCGGATGGCGAGCGAGCGCCGCCGGGCCCGCGCCAAGTGGGTCACGGCGAGAATTCCCTCTTCCCCCCCCCCCGGTACAAAATGTGGGACAAGCGCACGCAGGGGCCGAACACCCCCCACACGCCCACCCGCCCCCGGCCCCGCGCGAGGCGCGCGGTGCGGAACGCCGTGTTTACTGCGGTAAATACGCGCGGCTACCGGGGGGGAAACAAGGGGAAATAGAGGAGAAAATGGGCACGGCCCTCCCCGAAGCGCGGCCTGCGCGGGGCCGCGGCCGGGGCGAGCGGCGCGGGAGCGGCGGCTCCGCGACTCACCTGACGGGCCGGGACATCTTCCCGGCGGGTTCGTGCCGCCCCCGGGGGTGGGCGCGGAGGGAACGGGGGACGCTGAGGCCGCCGAGGCCGCCGGGGCCGCCCGGAGCGAGCGGGAGCGCTGGGCCCAGCGCCTCAGGCCGCGCTGCCGGAGCCGCCGCTGCTGCCGCCGCCGCTGCTCCCCCCTCCAGGCGCCGCCGCCGCCCCCGCTGCCGCTTCCCGCTGCCGCTCCCTGCCGGCGCTCCCGGGTGCCGGTGTCGCTGCCCCGCTCCCGGCCCGCGGTCCCGGTGTCCGCCCCGGTCCCGCTCCCGCCGATCCCCCCCGCAAAATGGTCGCGCTCGCCCCGCCGAGAGGATGCGAGCGAGGGGAGGGCGGCCCCGCCCCCCGCGCCGGGCCCCGCCCCCGCCGCGCGCCGATTGGCCGCGCCGGCCGCCGGCCCTGCCGCCATTGGCCCGTTCGAACCATCACGGCCGCGCAGGGCCCCGCCCACTGCCCCCGCGGGGAGGGCGGCGCGCGCGGCCCCGCACGCGGCGGAGCCGCAGCGGCAGATTCGCCACGGGGCCCCCGCGGCCCCGTCCCGCGCACCCCGCACATCCCGCACGTCCCGCACCGCCCGGCGGGCCCCGACACCGCCCGGGCACCGCTGGGTTTTTTTTCCTTTTCCTCCGGCGATTTTTTCGGGGCGCGGCGGGGGCCTCGGGGCCCGTCCCGCAGATTCGCCGCGCGGGCCCGGCGCGGTTTTGGAGGGAAAAACGCGGCCCCGGGAGCAGGTTCAGTGCCGGTAATTTTTATTAGCAAAAAACGCAGGAAATCGCTCTCAGCCGTCGATTTTGTCGTCGGCACTGATGTCACCACCACCACTTTCCCTGTGCTAGTCAGCAGTTAAGGACATGCACAATTTATGCAAAGTCCACTGAAGATAGTTGGGGGTTTTTTTACGCTTCGAATTCCCTAGAAACGCCAAAATCACTCATTTTGTTTAGAAAAGGAGCTGCTTTAACCATGGAAAAATTACATGTATTCCACAGTCATTAAAATGGCAGCTTCTACAATAACAACTCACTTTTGCTTTGCACTTGGATCTTTAGAGACTCATCCTTCCATTTTATTTAAAAAAACTTTTAAAAACGTATTTTTATATGTTGGGTTCCCTGAAAATACTGTTTTGACAATACAAATATGCTTTACAGCAGTAATTGCAATTAAAGGATAATTTGAGTTCATTTAATGCCCTCCTTGAGCTTCATTTGTCTCCTTTGGAATTATTGCCATTTTTCTGCCCAATCCAGCTGTGCCCTGTCCTTTGTGCCAGTCGATACTCATGAAAATCGAGCTGATCAGGGGAAAAAAAAGAGTCCCTTGGAGCAACTGCCTGCACATCCAGCCCCAAAATACACTGAATTAACAAGCCCCGAGGGGGAAGGTGCAGTAACCACATCAAGGAATTCTTTGCTCTCTGCTCTGAGCTGGATATATTGGATTAAAAGCCACTCTGGCTGACTCGCAGATGCACAAGTTTTGCATGTTTATAGCTCAATAAAACTCCGGTAATTGGGGGGGTTTGGGTGGAAAGGCCCCGGGTTCCTTTGGCTGCGTTTTGTCCATCCCCTGTGGTGCCTATCCCGATTTAGGCAGCCAGGTTAGGGCAGGCTGATCCCAGCCCGGGGGGATTCCAGCCCCGCAGCCCCTTTGTCATGGAATTCTTCCCAGACTTCAGAGGATCCACCCTGGGAACACACAGCAGGCATTATTACCCCGTGAGAGCCCTGCCAGGAACAAACACCCCCCGAGGGGGGACAGTGACAGCCAGCCCTGGCACCACGGAATTCCACTGGAATTCCATTGGATTTACCACATTATTCCCTCTTACTCCTTCACCTTGGGTCAAACAGCACCTCCCGTGCTCCAGGGCGACCCCCAAACCGGGGTAGGTCACGTCACTGGATTAAATTTGTAATAATCTACACACTTTACCAACACTTGGGTTGTTTTATCGCACCGATCAGGGTTCAGTGGGATTCAATTTTACTACGAAAAAACGCAGAAAATTAATTTCAGCAGTAGATTTTATCATCAGCCCCTTGATTTCATCCCCACACTGCTCAGCACACGGGCACGCCAAATTCATGCAAAGCCCGCTGAAGATGTTTGATTTTTAGGCCATGAATTCAGAAACCCCCCCAAAATGACTCATTTTGTTTAGAAAAGGAGCTGCTTTAACCATGGAAAAATTAAATGTCATTAAAATGGCAGCTTCTTCTACAATAACAACTCACTTTCGCTTCGCACTTGGATCTTTAAAAGAGACTCATCCTTCCATTTTGTTAAAAAGAGCACTTAAAAAGGTATTTTTATATGTTGGGTTCTCTGAAAATACTGGTTTGGCAATACAAACATGGTCAGCTTTACAGCAGTAATTATAATTAAAGGATAATTTGAGTTCATTTAATGCCCTGCTTGAGCTTCATTTGTCTCCTTTGGAATTATTGCC